GGACTCATACGCTTCCTTCGCTGGCGGAGCCAGCAGATGGGGTAGGGCCATCAGGGCCATCGCCTCGGTCATATTGGCGTTGTCAAAATTTTCCTTGCAGCGAGCCAGGAAACTGATGACCCTGATAGGATCTACCCCGCTGAATTTGTACTCCCCCATGACCACGAGGAGGTACTGCACCCTTTTACGGGTGGTAGCGTAGACCCGGTCGTCCAGGGTTGGGTCGGTATCCACGAGGCGGTAGGCTCGGTAGTTGCACACACCTCTGAACCGGTGGTTTGTCGGCTTCCAGACAGAAACCTTTTTCTGTTTGGGGCCGAACGTCGGCGTTGGGGCCGTAAGGGACTCTGACTCGGAGTCGGTCTCCGAGTCAGAGGAGGATGTCGAGGACGGGCTTGAGTACCCGTCCGGAGGGTGTCCATCCTTTCGTCCTTTGCGACGGTTCGCCTTCCGCTCTTTCCGACTGGGTTTGGACTTTTTTCGTCGTCCACTCCCCTCGTCGTCTGAGCTTCCCCCTTGATCGGGGTTCTCTCCCCGTAAATTCTGGGAAGGTAAATCACCTTCAAGGTGGATAGGTCCGGCGGAGGCTCCCTCGCGGGAGGCTCCTGCCGCGGTTCGCGACGCCTGCGGGTTGGCGGAGAATTGGGGTGCGGTCTCCATGGAGGGGACCCGTATCCCCGCGGCTTGCAGCGCCGGCGTTGTCACGTTGGAAAAGAGCAGGCTCTTATTCAACGGGGGCAACCCCTCAGCGGGAGGGAGAGTCGCTACTCCGACTGTAGTCGGAGGGATTCCAGCAGCGGAGGCTGATGTTTGCGTCTTCAAGATGGCAATTTCTCGACGGAGGGCCTTGAGTTCCTCCGCCGTGGCGGTCTCCTCTTGCTTACGCAGGATGGCAGCCTCCTTGGCGCTGGCAGCTATGTCCGCCTGCCAGGCCTTGGTGAGCACGCCTTCCAGGGCGGTTAGGCGATCGCGCTCTCGCGCGGCTTGTACCTCGGCTTGGGCCGCGATAGTTTCCTCAATAAAGGTCTTGAGGTTTTCTCGCAGCGCCGACGGTTGCGCTGCGAGCTTCTCCGCTACAGTATTGAGCGTGAATCTTTCCGCTTCTCGGAGGGTCTCGCGACAACTCCGAGTGATCCACGCCGCAACTGGCGGAGGCACGTCTCGAGGACGGGTCTCACGGGACGAATCGGACCCGGATACCATAGCCTTGAGCTTGTCGAAACCTGTTGAAACAGAGATAGAACACCTAGGACCAAAAACGGTAAGGGATAAGGGACACTCCGTAGACTTCTAGGTCGGGAGACCAAAATGTCGTGCACTGAGGGGGAAGGGGTGGGATCCCCCTCTGGCAGAGCGCGCGCGTTCGGGGGCGCGTGTAGGGGGTTATCCGGAGACCACCCGTAAGGGACCGGTACGGGGCCGGGCGCGAAGCGCAGTAGGGAAAGTAAGGGAAAAAGTGGGAAACAGAGCCCAGGAGGGGCGGAGCGGTAGGGACAGCTGTCGCGCGGAGAGCCGGGCGTGGCGGGACGACGCGCGCGGTAGAGACAGGAGGGAATCGGGACGTAGATGGCTCGCAGGGTACCGTCGTGGGACGGGGACCGACGCGAGGCTACGACTCCGTTCCAGAAACCCGAGTTCTAGACCCAAAGCTTCGTACCGTTTTACTAAGGGTCGGACGTCGGCTATATACTAGCTGACGTCGGAGCTATAATTAATTAAACTAAAAATACTAAATTGGACGACGGCGGCGATGGCCGGAGAAACTCCTCTTGGGGAGGTATGACAACCACTACACGTGGGAAATGACACGATTAACGTGAGGGATAACACGGGTACACGTGGGTAGAACTGTCAGTACTTCGACAGGGCTCCATGGAGCTTACACCCGGACACGAGCGGGGGGGTTTGGATACACGGTTACACGTGGTATATATCTCACTTATGATAGTGAGGCATTCCGCGTGTGCTACAGTACAGCACCGCGATTGAGCGGGCGGTCAGTGCTCTACAGTATGTATGCAGGATTTCCGTCCAAAATACGAGCAGATCAAGGCTCTATTTTTACATCGAACTACTGGCGAAAGTGCACGGAAGACGTAGGAATTGAACTACAACTATCTGGTGTCGCTTCGCACAATTCAATCGGTGTAGGAGAGCGCTACCACGGTCCGCTGCGTCGCGTCTTCCGTTCCATCAGGGATGCGCACCCATCCATTGATCCCGAACTCGCCCTGCGCTACGCAGTCAAGGGGATCAACGACACGTCAGGCCCTGAAGGTCTCGTTCCGTCCTTGCTCGTTTATGGAATGCTACCCCGATTCCCTACGCCGTCGTCTTCGTTACCGGATCAAGAGCACCGAATGCGTGCGCTAGAGACTGCGCGTAGAGAAATGTCAACTATAACATCCCGCTTACGTATTCAGCAAGCCCTCCGAGCGAAGCTTCCCCCCGCCACCCGATATTTGGTAACTCCGGGCGATCGTGTGTTTGTCTACCAAGAGAGAAGGAAAGCGTGGACTGGACCCTACACAGTACACAAAATCCACGAAAAGGAAGTTTTTGTGCACGTCGACGGGGCTCTCAAACATTTCAACCTGTCGCAGGTGTTACCTGACCCCGTAACCTCCGGTGACAAGGAAATCGAGCGCTTGCTGCAGGCTACATCCCACTTCACATCCAAAGGAGGATCCGGACACCACGCATACATCACCGAAGTCCTCCATCCTCGAGACCCACGTAGATCAAGCGATTCTTTTCAAACCGCCAAAGCCAAGGAGCTTGAAGGGTTGGCTCATCGAGGGGTATACGAAATCGTTTGCTATGAGGATATTAAACATATTCGAAATCCAAATATCCTCGGCGGTCGATTCGTTCTGTCGATAAAGAACAGTGGTACACACGACGAAGTATATAAGGCACGTTTCGTAGTCCAGGGCCACACGGACATTGAGAAAAATATGCTCGTCCATAACTCTACGAATCTGAAGCAAAACTCGATACGTGTTTTAGTCGCCCTGGCGTCCATTTTTGGCTTCTCTTTGTGGTCACAAGATGTATCGCAAGCGTATTTGCAGTCTGCAGAAAAACTCATGAGGGAAGTCTATGTACGCCCGAACAAGGAATTTGGACTGCGCAAAGATCAGCTACTACATCTGCTTAAGCCTCTTTATGGTCTAAGCGATGCCGGCGACTACTGGCATGCAACCTTCTCTCGCCACTTGAGAGACGACCTCTGCATGATGCCAACCGCAGGGGATCTATCTCTTTTCATTAAAAAGATACACGGACAACTGCATGGGATAATTGGCACACACGTGGACGACACCCTTGCAGCAGGAAACAACTCATTTGAAGAACATTCAAGGAAAACTGAACGAACTTTCGAGTCCAAAGCACGGACATACACGCCTTTCACTTTTGCTGGTATCGAAATAGAAGATACAAAAGACGGATATGTAATGCACCAATCCAAATTTGCCGTCAAAATCAATTTCATGCCGCAAAATGCTACCTTCCCTATGTTCCGATCCAAGCGCCAAGAGCTTGCCTGGCTCACCCACACACGTCCCGATGTTTCTGCAGACGTCAACTTACTCGCACAAGTTACCGAAGCCCAATTTAATCGCCACTGTATTACCGACACCAACAGGCTGATCAAAAGAATTCATCATTCCCGAGGCAGAGGCCTTATCCAGCATCGTCTGAACAAGAGCCATCTCAAGATCAAGGTCTTCAGCGACAGTTCATTTGCCAACACTCCATCCAGTCACTCACAGCTAGGCTATCTAATACCTCTATGTGATAACACGAACGGCTGTAATGTAATTCATTTTAGCAGTTACAAAAGCAGGCGAGTTGTTCGTTCGGTCATGGGAGCTGAACTATATGCTTTCGCCGACGCCTTCGATCTGGCCTTTTTATTGAAGACGGACCTTGAAACAATGCTTTCTGCTAAAGTTCCTCTCATTATGATGATTGACAGTGACAGCGTCTTCAAAGTTATTGTCAAGAATACATCAACGACCGAAAAAAGACTGATGATTGACATACGAGCAGCACGTGAAGCATACGAATCTCAAGAAATTTCCGATGTCGGATGGATCCGAGGTAGTGACAATCCTGCCGACGGGTTAACGAAACCTGGACGTTGCGAAGCTTTGGAAAATATATTGGACAGAGGACTAGTGAACATCCCGGTCCGGCAATGGGTAGTACGAACAGCACTCAACAAGACATCGTCCGGCGAAACTTATCCCCCATGCAACGTCATTTCGACCGACTTTCCGTAGCTTCGTCGTCCAAAAAACCCGGAGTGTAGAGCAATGTGTACACGTAGAGCAGCGTGTACACATGATGATGCATGTACCCAGCACAATAGACGATGGGATCAATTTGACCCCTGCGACGAGAGCTACGGTTTTATATCGGCTTTAACAATTATGCGAAAGGGTCGAGCTATTCTCCAACAAGCGCGTGGATCCGCGCTTTCTGTACGCAATAGGGTAAGGATACATAAGGGAGCTATTCGTCCATCCAGCTGCGTTTCGGTAGATTATTCAGCAGCAACAGTAAAGGTTCAAGAAATCCATTCTGTGCATTACGAGCTAGGGTCGTAGTGCAGCAAACATAGTCTCAACCTCTCCACATTCCTTGGGAAACAGTAGGCGCCCGCGTTCCTACTGACGGAGACACTACCTTACAGCACAACATCGCCGATAGTCCACTTTCGGCCTGAGGCGCTGTGCAGACAGTGCGATTCTGTCGACATACAGTGTGCGAAACGCAAATAAATACACCCATCGTCGAGGGGGTTTTGGCCAGATGCAGGCCGATAACATAAAGACGCCCACTCTATGACAACGCAAAACACACGATGAGTCCGATTCTGGGCTCAGATTTGCTCAATCATAAACGCATAGACAGATATCTTCAAAAAAGTATGCGAAACGCAAATAAATACGCGAAACGCTATAGAGTACAGTAGAAGAAATGTCTTTATTCTAGTATTTTGTCGCTCGCCCTTGTCCATCCAGAACTGCAAGCATACGCCGCGGTATGCTACGATAGAGCTTCTGTAGCAATTCGCCACTAATTGTTGCCCATACATCCTCAATCACCTCCTTAAGCTGCTCTATCGTATCGAACTGACGCTGGCGAAGATAGACGCGACGAGCCATGATTCCCCAAATGTTCTCAATAATATTAAGATCAGGAGACTTTGCGGGCCAGTCCATAGTTCTCACACCCTTCTCATTGAGCCAAGAGCGCGTGAATCTCGACCTATGAATAGAAGCTCCATCTTGCTGGTAAACCCAGTTCTCCATTTCCCCATACATCTCTGCGGAAAAAGGCAGTAGGGCCTTGTCCAGGGTTTCGCAGTACTTACCCGAATTTTGATTTCCATTTAAAAAGACCAAAGGGGATACCCCGTAAGGAGAAATGGCTCCCCAAACCATAACTGTAGCTCCTCCATTTTGCCTCTTAGAAAAAAACCTTTCATCTTTGCGCAAATCATGCCAATAGCAGGCATTTCCATCCGGTCCGTCGAGGTTGAACTTTTTCTCATCGCTGAAGATGACTTTGTTCCAAAAAAAGTCCCCCTTGCTTATAAAACGGCGCACCCATTTGACCCTTTTTTCGCGGTGCAGAGAAGTCATCATTGGGGCGGTCTTCATTTTCTATACTTTAGATGTGGCGTTGCGCTTAGAATTTGTTGAATTCTGCGGACTCCTACCGGCAAGTTGAGGTCTTGTTTTATGTCTCGAGCTGAATAGTTTCCCGTGGTTGCCCTTCGAATCATAGCCTTTTCTCCCCGGACAGTCAACTTTTGACCAGTTACATGCGCCCGAGACCGTGCAGGTCGACTGGGATTCTTTAAAAAGCGCTGCACAGCTCCTACGGACCTTCCCAATTCTTTCGATATGTCCCGTAAGGACATAAGCTGATGATGCAGGGCAAGGATCTGGCCCTTCTCGAGGTCGGTGAGCGGCGGGCCTCTTGGCATTTTTAATGCTAGTTGATAGTGGAAGATGAGGTAGGAAGACGTCAAGTGCCAGTCGGTATAGTACTGTGTCCTTTATTGTTTTGAAATGAAGACTACACGCCAGTTGCCCGCACTTTTCGATACTGTATTCTATGGCGTTTCGCGTTTTTATTTGCGTTTCGCATGCGTTTTTATATATAGCGGTCGATGCGTTTATAATTGAGCCAATCTGAGCCCAGAATCGGACTCGTCGTGTGTTTTGCGTTGTCATGGAGTGGGCGCTTTTATGTTTTCCGCCTGCAAATGGCGAAAACCCACTCGACGATGGGTGTATTTATTTGCGTTTCGCACACTGTATATCTACCCAAGGGTAAAGTCGACTGCATGTGTTACAGATGCGCTTTCGTTTGAAGATGCGCTCGACTCTTTGAAGTGTCCAAATCGTTAAAGAAATGGTATTTTTTGTTTAAATCTATCCAGCTTAGTCTCCAAAACAGAAAAAATACGAATTAGGGACTGAACGGTGGGTCCCAACCGGGTGATACCGAGGATACCACACACATGCACAGGTTAATATTTTCACTATGAAGCAACACAGTTCTGAGACGTGCAAATTGGCGGGAAGCGATGACACCCGCACCACTTATCTTATCCCCGACGATGTCCATGTTACCCGACCGCTCGCAGGCGATCTCTTGCATCTCCTCCACGAACACGACGCTCCCGCCACATTGGACACCATCTCACAGGAGCACATATCGGCGCTCAATGATGCCATTCTCCGCAGCACCCTGAGCTCGTAGATGGACGGCGTCGCCGTTCTTCAGATCCCCCCCCACCGTCACCCTTAAGAAGGACGCTCATCTCGACATCTCCCATCTCTCCACTCTTGATCACATTCGCCAGCATGCACCATCCCTCCCTATCCCTCGCACATTTGGCATGCTTTTCGACCAAAAACTCGAAAAGTACACTATACTTTCATGACCTTCTTCCCTGGGGGCTTGCTTGAATCGTACTGGATGCATCTGCCTGACGCTCAAAAGAAATCCTTGAAAAATCCAGCTTGAAGCAATATTCCACAAGTTAAGAAGCATACCACCGCCACCGCTTGATAATGGACGTCTACTGTGGGGCAGTGGAATGCCAACAAGAATTAAGGACTCCAGAAGGTGGCAGCGTATCGCGGAAGAGCAGATTTTAGACGAGAACGCGTTCAACGATTTCATCACTTGGGGGCGATGCGAAGTGTGAAGAGTGGAGAAAGATGGTTCGATCGTTCATGCGCGAGGATCATGCTTGTGTTATGACCCATGGTGATCTTCATCCCCGTAACATCGTGGTGCAGTTGGTGCCACGCAGTGAGGACGATTCCTGCCATGATGACTTGACCGAGAAGAATGTCAAGGTTCTTGCAATTATAAACTGGCATATGAGTGGATGGTATCCAGAATACTGGGAGTTTGTCAAGGGCACTGCACACTATCGGGATAAGAAGAGATCCTATAAAGAATTGGTGGCAGTATCTTCCCCCTTGCATTGGCACCTGGCCAACGGAATATGCCCTGGATGAAATGGTAACTCGCTGGCAATGGGGAATGCATTCATAAGTGTAACAAAAGACCTCGTGGGTAAGCTTTGACCTGACCTACCCCACGGTAAACTGCTACGCCGATGCATGAAAGTGTTGATGCTATCTCAACAGCTGGTTGCCGAGCAAAGTACAAGATAATGCTGTTCCTGCGCTTCCACTTTTGCCTTCGCCTTTGCCGACTCCCCCCATACAGCAAACATGTATGTACTCTGAAAGTATAGACCAATGCTAGACGACGTCACCATGTTTCATACTCTACTACCCAGAAGTTTGTCGGGTTGGCTACGTGCGACATGTCTGCATTCCGAAATTCAAGCCGTCAGGCGACGACAGTATCTCAAGACTACACCAGGCTCACCTATCGTCATCTTTGCTTGCGGACTACCCTTCTCGTAAACTCCATTGCGCAAGAAGCTGTCTGCGTCATACCGCAACATTTCTGAAGTATTTTGACCCGCATCCCACGTTCAGCTCTACATCCCGAACTACTACACTGTAGTCCCCCAACACCATCGCGGCTTGGCACTCATAAAGTAACATTTCCCAAAAGCATTTAAGCAACGTAATGCATACATTCCAAAAGCCACAATGACGACCTTCATCAGAACTTCCTCCCATGTCTACATGATCACCTTCTTGTGTCTTTTCTCTCTCCTTGTCTCGGTAAAGGCTTCCAAAGCCTTTCTTCCGCACCATCAACTTCCAAGCTGTTGGTAAAGCCAGTGCCCGATCCGGTCGCGCAAATATCAATAAAGGAGTCACCACAACCGCGAAGACCGCCACAGAAGCGCTGGCAGAGAACAACAAAAATTTCAACGAGTTTTCAAAACTCTATGGTACAGGCTTCGGTGAAAAAGATATTCAAACAACCGTCTTCGACGTCTCGCCTCAATGCGCACGTAGAGATAGACGAAACCAGGGCCAGATCCTTAATGCTCTCACCACAGCTGGTAGCGACGAGATCTCCCCCCACCACCTCGAGGATGCGAACACCTCTTTACAAACCAGGCCCGAAAAAACGGCCACTGTACACACAGAAGATCGTGCTTAGCGCCACGCAGAGACCGCCTTCGTTCGAGTAGACGACATCCATTCCATCAGCGAAGCAGCCATCAGCAACTACAGGATCGCCGTGGCGTCGGGATTGCAGCTGCCTAGTAGGATATTAACCAAGTCAATGTTTATCACTAGACCTTGGCTTTGTTCCCGATACTCATCATCGCAGCGTTTGAGAAAAAGACCGGCTCACACTGCGTGCACGGACAGCCGCCGGAAGGCAGGCATCCGGAGATATCACCAAGACTTAATTTCGTACAAACGCGTAGCAGGTTCTCGTGCGAAAGTTACAGCCTCCGGGCTCCAGTCACATTCCTGGGGTTAAATTTTCTTCTAGCCGTACCAGCGCGAAATCATTATATCCAAAGAACGTTCCACCGGCCAAAGGCCAATGGAGTGGGGAAGACACTGTCACCAGTCCTGCATGGGATCATCCACGCCGATGGTATTCAGTGCCTTCACAAACTCCCAGTACTCTGGATACCAGCCACTCTTATCCCAGTCAATAACGCCGAGCACTTTGACATCCTTCTGTGTCAAGTCATCAGCACTGGCGCCATTCTCGCTACGCAGGACTAACTGCACGACAATATTACGGGGATGAAGGTCGGCATGTGTCATAGCACAAGCATGATCCTCGCGCATAAATGATCTAACCATCTTTATCCATGGCCCACGACCACGGTCTCTCGTGGTAAGAAAATCGTTAAATGCCTTTTCGTCCAGAATCTCTTCTTTCGCAACACGGTCCCACCTTCTGGTGTCTATACACCTTCTTGGCACTCCACTGCCCCAAGTCAAACGTCCTTTGTCGAGGGGCGGTGATGGTACTTTTCGCAACTGTTGAAAAATTGGTTCGAGCTGCTCCTTGACGGATTTCTTTTGGGCATCAGACAGATGTATCCAGTGAGTTTCAAGAGACGGCCTGGGAAAATAGGTCGAAATGATAATACATCCGTCCAGATTGATCAATGAGCACACCAAAAGTACGAGGGATCGGGAGGGAGGGGCATGATGCCGGATGTGATTGAGAGTGGAGATATGGGCAATATCGAGATCTGTGTCCCGTTTGAGAGCAACGGTGGGAGAGATCTGTAGAGCGACGGCACCACGCATCTGCCAGATCACAGCGCTGCGGCGAATGGCATCATTGAGAGTCGAGATGTGTGGCTTTGAGATGGAGTTGGATGTCGACAGAGCGTCATGTTCGTCGAGGACATGTAAGAGATCTCTCCATTAAGCGGATAGATGACATGCACATCGTGGGGGATGAGACAACTAGTGCGGACGTCATCGCTTTCTGACAGTTGTGCATTCCTGCGCTTCTGCATTCCCGAGCTTCTGTTCACAATTCCTTCAGCTCTCTAACGGGGGCAGAACAGGAGAAGGTAACCACAATGGACATGTTTCCGCAGAAACCCCTGAAACTCGAAATCTGGCAAAAGACGAGTTGAAAATAACTTCATACAGTACAACAGTATGAGGACAACGGTCCAATACAGTAGACAATAGAGAATAAATACGATCATCGTACAGTTAGAGCCAGGCATATATTTTTTCAGAGCATCGCATTGGGAGCAAGTTACCAAGAAGGGCGGTGTTTTCAGTGGGATACGTGATGAACGACGTAACGACGTAGGCATACTGTAGGTACTGCTCAAACGTCCACGCCCTTCCGCCCTCGCGACTCCTTTCCCCCGCAGATGCGCACGACGAGCGAAGCTACCGACTGACCTCATTTACCCGTTCTCCCACACTTTTACATCACTGCTCATCATCTAAAAAGAATATCTCATATGTGTTCTATTCACTCCATTCATTATCGCGATGTACTCCCGGCTTTCCTTGAATTCCCTGCTTGGGAATTGGTATACACTGGGTTCTCCCTCTTGCTCCTGAGAATTTTCATGACATCACCAGAGATGTCAAAGCCCTTACTCTTAAGCGCGTTAAGCGCATCCATCACCCAGTTCTGGCAATTCCAGGTCGTACTCCTATTGTTAACCGGGAGTGCCTGAACAATGCCAAATAAGCTATCGAGACTATGCTCTGCAAAAATAGTGCCGCATGAGATGTTTTCATCGAGGCTTCTTGAAACATCGGGACGTCTCATCACCGGCATTTCGACGTAATAGCCTTCACCATTTTCGTCGTTTCTAACCTGCCAAATGATGCTATCATTCGGCGGCTTGTTCAACCACAAGGCCCAATGGGCTGCATCACGCTTGTCCATTTTTTCGAAGATGGCAATCTGTGCTTCGGTTTTCATTGATAGACGACTCACACAACAGAAAAATCGAGGTCAAAAAGCAAAAGAAGGGAGTTAAGCTTGTTGGGATGTTTTCGGATGCATCGGTGTTGTACGTGTACC